CAATGTTAGTTAGTTAGTTTACGCGAGTCTTCAATGAAAAAAACCGAATGTTCGTGTAAATATTACGACTTCTTTTTTCATTTACTTGATTTCATTCCAAAGACGTTTTTTCAAAAAATTTGAGTTTCCAAGCTCGGGAAGTGGCTTATCCGCGAGTGCAGCTCATCCGTCGGTGTACTTCAGGCTTTCTGATTTGGAACAGCAGCCTACCCATTGCCCGTTAAGTTAAACGTTGAGTTTTCATCAGTGTTTTTAGTTTTGCGCCAAAATATTCCTACAATTCCAGTACTAAAACAGCTAATGATTGTACTTGCAAGTTTTCTTTCTCATACTGACAGTTCTTTTCAAATTGGTTTTTCAAATGTACATTTAGGACACTTGTGTAACCGGCCAATGGGACTACAGAATAACCGATTGAAAAATCACCAAATGACGTCATCATCTCGATGGGATAACTTCCATGGACCCTACAGGGCACGACTCAATATTCATCGCCACGGACGTCACATAGGAGCTTGGTCATCTCAGTACAATAATCGATACCAGTGGATACAAGTTGACTTCAGTAGACCAGCAAAAATTATCAGGATTTGCACACAAGGGCGACAAGACACGAATCAGTGGGTTACACAGTACTTTGTGATGCACAGCTTGACTGCTGTTAATTTTGTACCTTACCAGGAAAGAAACAACATCAAGGTAATCTGGCGCACATCTTAAATTACAAGGCGTTGGCTTGGCTCCGCTGATTTCCTTTTCGTAAACGGTCGATGCCATTTTTAAAGGTCAATGCCATAACTGGTAACCAAGCTTTTCGGAATGGAGGATGCTATTCCTGCTATAGTTTAGGTCGAAACTGGTTATAATTTGGTGATAGACTAATACGTACGAGTTCACCAAATGCTCGATTGTTCACGTTCACACCGGTTTGTTTGCGGTTAGCTTTTATTTGTTGGTTAGGGGAGTACCATAAGTAAAACAGACTAAGAAAGTCACGTTTTATAATTCGATTTTGCGGGGATTTGTCGGTTCAACCTGGTGGTGTAGTGGTAAGAGATGAATGTTAGTTTGCGAGTGGTTCTAAGTTCAATACT